AGCGCCATTTCCGATAAGAGTAAATTAAAAAAAAGTGCTAGTTTTATCTCCAAAGATTAAGAAACATTCGATCTCTCGATATTCTTTTAACACTTGCAGAGTCACAGAGGGAATGCAATGTAAGAGCTACACTTAAATTTTCACACGTCACTTTTAATTTGAATTCTTATTTTCTTATACAATAGTATACTTAATATAGCGAAATTATAAACAAAAAAATATCCGTTTATACGATATGGTAACCCTGCATCATCATCGTCATCATTATTGCCGTTATTACAGTCTAAAAGTCCTAAATTCCCAGTAAAGAATATATGTACTTGCCCTGTAATCCTGAGCCACCTACATCCATCGACTTCCTGCATTTCTTCCCATCCACACCTTCGCTTACCGGTGCGAGACTCCTACTCGAGAAGCTTTCTTCCCAATCAGTTGTCAATTCTTTGAGCTATTCTCTCCTGAAGCTCCGTATTACACACACATTCCGTGTGGTAGAATCACTGCGTACGAACTGGTCATTCGTACATTTGAAATAGTCATAACATCTTTTAAGCATTTTCTTTAGTCTTTTAAAACACATGGAAGGAAATGGAACGATGAACTGTCTTAAAACGTCATGTATCGTCAATTCATCACTTCGTTCATAAGCATACTGTTATCAATTATCATGCAATTGACTAGTTTTGCATATTTATTATTTAGGAGGTCATTGTAGAAGCGTGCTCGTCGCGACCCCTGCCAGCCCTTTTCAGGGCTGCAATTCTACTAGCTGCGCACCCATGCCAACGAGGGTTAGGGCGTCCCCCCAAGGCGACGCACACCAGCTCGTCCCCGTTGGTGTGGAATGCAGCGTGCAAAGCGGCGATGGGGACCGCCACCCGTCACGCACAGCCCGACACGGCGGAAGGTGGAGGACAGAGTGCAGAGTTGGCACGTGGAATGTTAGAGGAGGCATGAGAGATAAGACGAATGAGTTGATCGAAATAATGAAAGAAAGAGAATTAGATGTCGTGTGTATGTCGGAGACCAAACGGAAGGGCAGTGGTACTGAAGAGCTCCCTGGCGGGGCGTTAGCTCTATGGTCAGGAGTCCCGGAGAGCGAGAACGCTTGCCAGGGAGTGGGGGTGCTGCTGTCTTCTCGGTTGGTCGATGTTATGACTGAATATAAGGTTGTGAACTCAAGACTTCTCTGGGTTCGCTTTAAATTGGGACTGACGAAGTTATTCCTTTTGGCTGTTTATGCGCCGGTAGCTTCGTCGTCCAGGGCTGAGCTGGAGGAGTTTTGGGAGAATGTAAGAGAAGTTCTAGATTTAGCTAGGGGAAACGAAAGAATTGTTGTATGTGGTGATTTGAATGGATGGGTTGGTACCGCTCGACCAGGGTACGAGTCGGTACTTGGAAAGTTTGGCGATAAAAGGATTAATGATGCTGGCAAGCTTATACTGGCGGTGTGCAAGGAAAAGGGTCTTCTTGTGACAAACACTATGTTTAATCACAAGAAAATCCATATGTATACTAGAGAACGAAAGAATGAGAGAAGTATGATTGATTTGTTCCTGGTGGATGACCGACTGCGAAAACAGGTGATGGATACGCGAGTGTTCAGGGGTGCTGACCTGGGAACGGATCACTATCTAGTGATTACTAGATTTAGGGGTCTGTTCGCGGGTTGGCGCTACCGGACGGCAGTAACAGAACCACAGTCGGTCTGTCGCATCCGAAGCTGGAAGCTTCAGGAAGCGGATACTAGGGACAAATATCAAGCGAGGGTAGCCGAAAAGCTTGACACCATCGATGGCAGAAAAGAATGTGTAGAAAGAACTTGGCAGAACCTTAGGGATGGAATGGTAAGTGCAGCGGAAGAAGTGTGTGGAACAATAAAAAGAGGCAGTAGTAAAAGAAGAGATGCATGGTGGAATGATGAAGTGAAAGAAGCTGTAAAGAAGAAGAAGAAAGCATGGTTAGACTACTTGGCCTCTAGTAATGATAAGGATATGAGAGAGAAGATGAAAGAAAGATATAGGCTGCAGAAAGTTCACACGAAAGCACTGATTGAGGAAGTGCGTGAAAGGTGTAGAATGGAAGCGGACGAAAGGTTGTCGCACAACTTTAAGGAGAACTCCAAACTCTTCTGGAAAGAGGTTGGAAGGACCCGGAGTGGTGCGACGGCCTTAAGAATGAACAAAGTGCTTTCGAGAACTAATGACGTCCTCTCAGAAAAATCGGACGTCATGCAGCGATGGAGCGAATTTTATAGAGAAATGTATGCGTGTGATGATCTTAGTGAGGGATCCGGGGATGACGCCGTGACTGGTACGCCAGACCCGGACCTCGATGACACTGAGATCATCAGTATGAAAGAGATTGAACGAGCGATTCGAAGTTTGAAATGTGGTAAGGCTGCGGGACTAGACAGAGTTACTGCTGAAATGGTCAAGTATGGTGGGCCTCGCGTCTGGGACAGCTTTCATCTGCTGTGCAATTTGTGCTGGCGGACGGGGGATGTCCCGGATGATTGGCGATCCGCAGTCATTGTGCCTTTATATAAAGGTAAAGGTTCACATTTTGACTGCGGGTGCTATCGGGCGATCAGCTTGACCAGTTTAGCAAGTAAAGTTTACTCGAAGGTTTTGACACGTAGGATGCAAGAGAAATCGGAAAGATTTCTATGGGAGGCACAATGCGGATTTAGACCTGGAAGAGGATGCACGGATCAAATGTTTTCTCTCCGCATGATCACGGAGAAGCTTCTGGCTGCTAACCAGAAGATTTTCTGTGCTTTTGTGGATCTTGAGAAAGCATTTGATAAGGTTGTAAGGAAGAAAATGTGGGAACTGTTGCCGGGGTATGGTGTGGATGGTCGATTGCTAAGGGCTGTGCAGTCTCTTTACTGTGACTGTAAAGCCTGTGTGCGGGTAGGGCATGACCTGTCACCCATGTTTAACGTCCAAACGGGCGTAAAGCAGGGTTGTGTCATGTCTTCCTGGCTGTTCATACTGTATCTCGACAGCTGTTTACAGAAGCTGAAAGATAGTTGTTTGGGTGTGAAATTGGGTGACATTAAAGTAAATTGTCTGCTGTATGCTGATGATGCAGTGCTTATTGCACCATCAGAGGCAGAACTGCAGGCATTAGTCACGTGTATGAAAGAGGAATGTGAAATTAAAGGTCTCCGTTTGAATGCTAATAAAACTAAGGTTCTGGTATTTGAAAGGGACGAAGAGAGAACGAAGTGTGAAATATGGGTAAATCAGGAATGTCTAGAACAGGTAAATGAAATTGTATACTTGGGGAGTGCTTTTAGCCGGGATGGAAGATGTGATTTAGATGTGGACAGGCGTGTCGCTGCCGGGAACAAAGTCAATGGTGCCCTGACTGCGTTAGTCAAAAGGCAAGGCGTAGCGAAGAGTGCACGCCTTGCAATACATAACGCAGTGTTGGTACCGACTTTGTTATATGGCAGCGAAACCTGGGTATGCCAGAAGAAGCATAAAAGTAAGTTGAATGCAGTGGAGATGCGATCTCTTCGTAAAATGTGCGGCGTTACCATGGCCGACCGAAAGCGAAACGAAGAGATTCGCAATATGGCAGGTTTGAAAGATGACCTTATCACAAAAATTGATAAGGGCGTGCTTCGGTGGTTTGGGCACGTTGAGCGAATGAGTGAAGACCGAATGGTGAAGAAAATATATAGCGCGAAAGTTAATATTAAAAGGTGTCGAGGTAGACCGAGACTAACTTTCGAAGACCATGTGAGCAAATTGCTCGAAGAGGGTAGGGTCAAAAGTACTCGGATACCTAGACGTGCATGCATGAAGAAGATAATGAATCTGAAAGAAGCGAAAGAGGTTTGTAAGGATCGTGACACTTGGCGATCTGTTCTCTCTGGCTACCCCGTCAGGGATTGTGCGTGAAGATAAGTTTGCATATTTAACAACCTAAGATAGAATAATGCCGCGAATTTGTCAACGAAAATGAATATAATTAAAAGTAGGTATCTCATTGTGAATGCATTGGAAGCCGTCAAATACCTACTTAACTTTCCACGAATAAATTCTTTCGACACACGATAATGTATTGGAGGTCAATGCGTAGTAGGTCCTTTTACTAATTGATTTCAAAGATTTTTAACATTAAAAAAAACATTAACATTTGTAACATTCTCGAAAGTGTATTAAACGAAAGATAAATTTGGAATTTTTCCCCTTCTATGAGGTAATCTAGGGGAAGGCTTATGTCTAGCAGTGGACTTTTGATAGGGTGTAATGAAAGTATACCGTTACCGTCAAACTCCCTAACTTTGCCAAGGGTCCAATGTTTGCCCATAATGAAAAAGAAGTAATATCTCTTCTATTTTATAAGCCTGACAACGGAAACTTTGATATATTTTTAGAATTATTATCTGGCAACACAAAATTAGTGGCATCACGTTGGTAAAATGCAAAGATTTTTGACAATCGGGTGCTGAATCAAAGTGTAGAACGGCGGTTACGAGAGTTGTGAGAAAACTTTTCAAGTAAGTCATTGAAATATGTTTAATTGTAACTTGTTTTATAGTCATTCCGTAAAACTATGATAATTTGATAAATTGTCATTTTTAACGATAGAAATACACTAATAATTATTGAGAAATACTGGTGTAGGCAAAGTTTGGCATTTTTTATGAACAAGTGTACCGAACATTGCCGAGCCTAGGGTTGACACTTGTTATTAATTTTAATGAGGCGGACGCGTGACCTATATATATATATATATTATGTTTACCTACTTTAGATAATTTGTTGCTTTGATTTTGTAATGTCAATGGAGTCTGAAATGGAACAAAAAGTTAGTTAATAGTAAAAAATAACTATATATATATATATATATATATATATATATATATATATATATATATATATATATATATATATATATAGTTATTTTTTATATATAGTTATTATTGTGTATATATTTGTGTATACTTACTCAGTTTTCTGTTTATTTGAAGGACAATCAAAATGAACAAGCCGCGAAGAAAATATAAAGATTACGATGAGAGCTTACTAAACATTGCTGTAGGTCTCGTTGAAAATAAAAATATTACTTCATACGACGCTGAGAAACAATTTGGTATCCCTCGCCGCACGATTTTAAATAAAGTAAAACAAAAACACACGAAAAAAGTCGGATGTCCCACCAAACTGCCACCAGCTGATGAACAGAAAATAGTCAGTTGTTTAGTTCTTTGTGGAGAATATGGGTATCCTGTTACTAGCTTTGAATTAAGGTCAATCGTACATGATTACTTAATCAAAAATGGACTCAGTAATATTTTTAACATCAAAATGCCGGGTCAGAAGTGGGTAAGAAACTTCTTGAAACGCCACAAAAATGTCCTGACGGTGCGTTCTACAAATAATATTAAAGAATCCCGAGCTAGTAAGAGTGTAAAGGACTACAATACATATTTTGAAAATTTGAAGATTTCATTGCATAATGTCAAACCAGATCATATAGTGAACTATGATGAGACCAACTTTTCCGATAACCCAGGATCTCAAAAATGCATATTTAAAGCAGGTACTAAATACCCAAACAAAACACTAAACAATACCAAGACGGCGATATCTGTTATGTTCTCAGCTACGGCAGGTGGAGAAATTTTCCCACCATATGTCGTATACAAAGCAGACAATTTGTGGACAAATTGGTGTGCAAACGGGCCTGAAGGAACCAGATACAACAAAACCAAATCTGGTTGGTTCGATTCGTATACTTTTGAAGATTGGTTTAATACCATAATCATCCCATGGGCAGTGAAAACCACTGATCCTAAAGTTTTAATTGGAGACAATTTATCGTCACATATGAATATAAATATAATAACTAAGTGTGAAGAACATAATATCAGATTTATCTTTATGCCACCTAACTCCACTCACCACACTCAACCTCTTGATGTGGCCTTTTTCGGCCCATTGAAGAGAGAAGGAGGAGAATTTTAACGGACTACAAAGTTCGACACCCAAGTTCTAACACATTAAACAAACAAATATTCCCCGAATTATTGAAAATGTTACTAGATGCAACAAAAATTACACAGAGTAAAAACATAATTAGCGGATTTCGTGCTGCTGGGATACACCCCATTAATCCAGAAGCTATATTAAAGAAATTGCCAGATTACCGTAGGCCACAAGCAAACATTACTTACGATGAGACTTTTGTCAATTATTTGAAAGGTTTAAGAAACCCGGCGAACCGGCAAATAAGAAATACAAATAAAAAAATATTTATAGAGCCTGGAAAATCAATAACTGTTACCGATCTCGTAAATGAAAAAACTAAAAAACGAAAAGCACCAGATACAACTCTTAGTAACGCAAAAAGACTCAATCGTAAGAAAAATATCATCCCCACAGAAATCCAATTACAGGAAGACGTGAAAGAAACGCATTCAACTATTGCAGATTCTTTGATTATGTATAATCAAAGTGTGGATTATACTTTTGACAATGTCTCATTAAACGTTAGGCGAGATTCGTCATCCGATGCTGACAATGACCAACTTATGACTAATTTGATAGTAAATGCTGAAATACATCAAAAACATGGAGATATGGAATTATCGGACCAGAAAAATACTAAAAGTATTTACAACATTCAACCAGGCGTTATTTGTGAATGTTGATAAAAATTTATGTTTATCAAATGACCGGACTTTATTCAAAAATATTTCTAACTGTGATGCAACTACATCAAATGAAACTATGACGAAAAGCCGAATTCTCTCTAATGTAATTATAAAATCCCCAGATAGAATCTCATTTGATGATAGTGTTTCAGATGACTATACTAAGCATGAAAAGGTGTTTCCAAAAAGTAGGAGCAATCAAGGGTCGAGTTCAGAAAGCTCAGGAATGTATACTGTGCACGATTCGTCTTGTGATGAACATTTTCTTCCATCTCTAAGTGACACGGAAACATACATAGATGAAATGTATGAAGAATTGGAACAAAATATTGATAAAGAAAATGATATTTATGAAATAGGTGTTGATAAATATGTTCTTGTTAAATTTTCAACATCAAAGTTGGCTAAATATTATATTGGTCTAGTAATCAAGTACAACGATTTGGAGCGCGTATATACTATAAAATACTTACGAAAAAATTCAAAAGGTACATTTTACTGGCCACTAGTAGATGATGTCTCAGAAATAACTTTACTTGATGTAGAAAAAACGTTGCCAAATCCACAAGTCGGACGTAGAGGGACATTAAAGTTTGATTTAGATAATTTAGGTGTTCTTTTGTCAAACATTTATTGAAATTTGTTACCTGATAATTAGTTTTTGACTTCATTGTGATATTGTTGTATTTTTTTAGGATAGATAAAGTAAAACTTTACTATGTCGTATTGTGCGTTTATAGATTATGTTTATTAAGAAAAAGGGTTAATTTCGAAAGACTGATTGTAATTTTAATAAAAACTGCTTGCAATGAGAATGACTGATTAAGTGTTATAACATGTATTTTAAATATAATTTTAATATTTTGTTACCTACTTATTTTTCTTATGAGACAACCCTACACTTTCTTTGTCAATGTATGGATGTTGGAAGAAATTGTGTCCTAACATTGCCTTATAAAATTTTATCTACTAAAATACGCCAAAAGGTGTTATTCGAAATTGATTTGTATTGTTGAATTATTAAGCTACATTTAAGATTGTCCCAGGATTAAATGCATATATTTATTTTGGAGTAAACGCCTCTGGCAATGTTAGGAATATTAGACATAACTTTGCCTATTTCTTAAAATACCTCCAAAAAGTTATTAATATTAAGCATAATGTCTAAAATAAATGTTATATATTATACCTAAGTCTTGCTTTTACTCTTGTTTTAATTTCTATCTGCTAAAAAGTACAAATTCAGGATTTATTTCACGACAAAACTAAATAATATCAATATTCGTGAAAAGTTAGGGCATTTGACGGTACCATAGCAGTCACACTTGGCAGGCGATTTGGCAACCATTTTTTTTTATATTATCCAGTTGTTGTTATCTGGAAGATGCTGCTGCCATCTCCTGTTTCAGATTCCCTCTGTCGCGTCGTACGACATTCTGGGAGCGGTTACCGACTATCTCAAAGGATAGTTCGTATTCTTACGTTGCCACTACACAGCGAAAAGCTAGTCACAGACCATGATACAGCGTCTCAAGTGTAGGGTGTCCCCCCACTAGATGGAGTGACGACCTGGTAAGACATGCAGGAAATCGATGGATGCAGGTGGCTCAGGACCGTGCTTTGTGCCGTTCCTTGTGGGAGGCCTATGTACAGCAGTGGACTTGTGAAGGGCTGTAATGATGATTATGTAAATATGAAGTCCGACAACACAAAATGGCGGGTGAGCTGTGCCCAGCAGTTAGACATATGATGTGCTGTAACGTTTTTACTAATTCTACCTAAAAATACGCATTCTTAAAGAATTTCAAAATTATATTAGCACTTCCATCATACACGGTATTTTCTATTTTTAGGGTTCCGTACCTCAAAAGGAAAAAACGGAACCCTTATAGGATCACTTTGTTGTCCGTCTGTCTGTCTGTCAAGCCCCTTTTTCTCATGAACGCGTGGAGGCATCAAGCTGTAATACATCAACTACTAAAGTCTACTGTTCCTTGGAGCTGTGAAAAAATCAAACTTCGAAGCCAATGCGATCAAAAGATACAGCCGTTTATGTTGCAAATTTTTGACATTCGCAAGGGAATCAAAGCCTACAGGGTACTTTCCGTGAACTCATAATCTTAAAATTTTGTATGAAGCAACGTATTATATCACAAATAAAGAAAAAATTGCGAAAAGCATAAATTTTTAGTTAAGGAGAAGGAAAGGGTCGTCCCGGTTGCTAACAATAGTGGGCTTCCCGTACATATTAGCAACCTGTTAAAAGCCAATAAAGCTGCTTTCCGGAGAGCAGCAAAATATCTCACCCCCGAATATAGGCGCACGGCCAATCGTCTTCAACGAGAACTCCGTTTCCGCTTCTCTGAATTTCGAGACCTCGAAAAGAGTAAACTCATGGAGAATATCTCTCCATCTCATACACCGTACTATCAGATGGCTAGAGTCCTACGCATAGACGGTATCACCCACACTCCCCCTCCCTCCCGTCCCGACGGTACAGTTGCCTTCGAGGACGAGGAAAAGGCTGAGTGCTTTGCAGACAGCATTGCCGCACAATGCTCTCCTAGCTCTCAACCCGTCGACCCCTCACACGTCTAGGCAGTGGAGGATGAGGTCCGCCGCCGGAACTCACCCTCTACAGCCTCCGAACCTATCTCTGTGTCCAATGATGAGATTTCATCCCTCATCAAAGGACTTAAGCCTAAAAAGGCTCCGGGCGCGGATGGCATCTCCAACCAAGCCCTAAAACACTTTCCTGAGCAGGTGTTAACCCTTTTATCTATTATCTTCAACGCCTGCTTCAACTTTAGTTACTTTCCCACTACGTGGAAAGAGGCAACGGTGATTGGTATTCCCAAGCCAGGCAAGCCTCTCAACCTCCCCTCCAGTCATCGCCCCATTAGCCTTCTCAAGGCCATGGGCAAGCTCTTCGAACTTCCCACAGACGGTGACCCTCTTATCATTCCCCACCAATTTGGTTTCCGAGCGAAACACTCCTGTCCCCAACAAGTTCACCGTATTGTGGAATATATCCTCAGCGGTTTTTATCCTCGTCGTCATAAGACCATCGCGGTCTTTTTCGACATAGCTAAAGCCTTTAATAGAGTCTGGCATACAGGCCTTATCTACAAATTACACAAAATAGGTCTCCCCGATCGTCTAGTACGTCTCGTGGCCTCTTATCTAAAGCATCGTACCTTTCGTTTTAGACACGAAGGCACGCTATCTTCACAGCGCCTCATCAAAGCTGGTGTCCCTTAAAGGCTCAAATAAAGCAGAAATAAACCAGATTAAATATTTCCCATGGCTTTTTAGAACTTTCGCAACAAGACCCTAATCGATTTTGATTCGATTTATAACAAAGAACGAAGCGTGGCTTCACCATTACGATTCCAAAACAAAATTTCGAAAGTTCAAAATTGCTGTTTGAGCATTAGTCACAAAAGTTATACTCATTAAAAAAATATTAAATGTGCCAATGGCTACTAAGTGTTTCTAAAAACTGCTTTGCTCCTCTGCTGTACATCCTGTTCACCAACGACATTCCCATCCCGTCGAAAGGTGTTCAGCTCTCCCTCTTCGGAGACGACACTGCACTCTACTGTAAAGTTATCTCGCTACCTTTCATACGGAACAAGGTCCAAAAGTCAGTTGATGACCTAGGAGCTTGGTTCAAAAAATGGCGCATCGATGTGAACCCGGAGAAGAGCTCCGCCGTTCACTTCGATTATAAACGAAGCAGTCTCAAAAACACTCCACCAATACGTATGCTAGGGACCCCTATCCCGTGGCATATGTCTGCCAAATATTTAGGTGTCATCCTAGACACAAGGCTCACTTTCAGGCCCCACGTCAAAATAGTAACCCGTCACGCACGTTTTTACCTGAGTAGGCTCAACAGTATGTTGTCACAGTAAAATGTCACACACACACACACACACACACACAAAACTAGCGCTTAGAATATATTAAATATTTTTTTTTATTTCTTATTTATATTTCTGTACTTGTTTAAATAACTAAATTATTATCATTATATAGAAATTGACCTTTTTTGCTATACGCTGTATACTATTTGTTAACATTGCTGAAGACAAAAAAAAAATTAAAATTCATGCAAAAAAAATGTAAATCTATAAAGGCTTCTATATAACATAAAATGTTCTCTTGTTTATATATTGTTAAATGTACAAGCTGTAGATTTTGTTACAATAAAAAAAAAATGTCCCTCAGAAACAAGCATACCCGTTATAAGCTCTGTATACGACCAGTCATGTCCTACGCGGGCCCCATTTTTGCCCACGCTGACCC